CTTCTACTAGAGGCCCCAGGCCGAGTTTTCCCTTCAAAGAAAGGCCCTGCCCTCCTTCTGACCTCTCCCTTTATCACAATGGCTGGACACCCATTCCTGTAAAAAGCATGCAAGCTACAATCAGCCTGGGTGATGTCCCAGGAGCCACCAGATACACTCATTACCCAAGGAGCTGTCAGGGGTCCCACCCTCCAATTAGTTCTCCAGAGCTGGCATCAGCAGCCCATTGGGGAGGTTGGTCTCTGGGGGGCGAGGGGCCTCAGGCTCAGGGTCCGCTCAGCCAGCCGGCACACCTGCCACGCCTCAGGGGCCTGTGTTGGCGGGAAAGGTTCTGAGCATGACCCAGGGAGAGAAAGGAAGAAGACGCTTGGATGTCCCCACCAGCAGGCACTCCCAGTGCTGAGCCTAAAAGACAAAGTGGAACCCAACGGTGGACCCACTGTGACCCGAACGTGACTATCACGTCCCACCTGCAAAAGAGCCCAGCAGGGGGTGATGGACAGGCACCGTCCCCAGCTCTACCCGGAAGCACTAAGCATTGCCAGCCGGCCCTTCACCAGCAGAACCAGGAAGCCTTTCAGAGGCACGGACTGAAAAGCCAAGGAAGTCAGATGGTCCCGGAACTGCAGACCTGGGCCGTCCAATGGGGGCAGCCACTGGCCGTGTGTGGCCACTGAAACTAGTGGCCCCATTCCAAGTGCTCAATAGCCATCTGTGGCTCGGGGCGACCGCTTCGGCCTGTGCAGGCTACGGGACACCCCACCCGAGGGTGCCAGGGGCCTTCTCTGGCTCCCCAGAAGTGGAACCAGCCCCACTCACCTTCTGTGCCCCGATTTACACGTGGCCTCCCTGAGGCGTGGTGGGAAATACCTCCACAGGGAGAGAGGAATCATTGCTCAGAAATGAAGAGAAGAACAGAGGATTAGGGACCGAAGACTTGAGGCCCAAGTGAAGCCCTGCCACTTACCAGGCGTGTGACCCCAAGTAATTCACGTCCCCTGCGAGTGCATCCACTTCCTCGGCCATGTGATGGTGGCAGAAATACACTCCCTGCCTCTCAGCACCTTTCAGGACTACCGAGTGACTCCAAAACCTCAGCAAACCCCAAACCATAAAGTGGTAATATTAAAAACAAAACCACTGTTAAAGTCTGCGTTCTCCGAGATGCTATTATTATCCTGCTTTTCTCATTATGAAAACACCGGCTATACTGAGCCACCAGAATTTAATGGGCCTCTTAGTAATGAAATTTAATTTAATACAAACGAAGCAAGCTACCCTCCCGGCACGCCCCCCTGCCAAACCCCTAGAACTGGAATTGCAATGAGTCTATTTATTGTGACATTCTCTTTGGCTGCTTTTCCAGCCCGGACTCCACAGTAGCATCAGAGCGATCTTTTCGAAAGGCAAATCCAATAACTTCGTGCCTCCCTCCTCTCCTAAGGAGGCATCGCCAAGAAGACACGATGGAAGCTCTACTGAGCTTCAAGCACCAAGACCGGAGGTGCCCCGTGCAGCCGGCTCATCTCCTGCAGACCGGGGCTCTGCGCCCAGCATCGGCCGCATGCACTTGCTGTTCCCTTGGGTCTGCGGCCCCTCCCACCTCATCAGCCAGAGCAAAGCCTTCCGATTCGGCTTCAAAACGCAGAGCAGGCGGCACATATTTTGGGAGGTGCTCACACCTGTGGGAGCCGAATCTCGTCCTCTTCAGGGACCCCTCTGTGCAAGCTCCCACGCCCCTGTCTGTCCCACCAGTGAGCTCGTCGAGGGTCCTCACTTTGCTCAGCGCCTGGCACAGAAGAGGTCTCCACAGAGGGCCTTCCAGTAGCGTGAACGGAGCTGAAATAGATATAATCCAAAGGCAACTGCCAGCTCCTGCGTCTGGGCCAGAGGCCTGGACACTCGACTCAAAGGGAGCCCAAGACAGCAGGGAGAATCGCCTTCTCTAAATGATCCCAGCTGCACGAGGCCCACCGCAACGGATGCATCAAAGGACAGCGGGGAGGAGACACGGACGGGCCCCCGGAACCCGGACGGCCACCAACAGCGTAAGGAGAACTGCATCTTTAGCCGCCTGCCCTTAACTTTGCCCGCAAGACGCCCTCTCCCCTGGTAATACGCTTATTACCCCTCAGCTTCCCACAGCAGTGCTGGGGCCTGCAGGGGTTTGAACCTCTGAATGTAACCTCATTTGGGAAAAGGGTCTTTGCAGATGTAATGAAGTTAAAGATCTTGAGATGGGATCATCCGGGAATGGGTGTGTGTGTTGGTGGGTAGAGGGGCGGGTTGCTCGAAATCCCGGTGTTCTTGTAAGAGAAGAGGAGGGACAGACACAGAAGGCCACGTGAGGACAGAGGCTGAGACCAGAACGATGCGGCCGCAAACCCACGGCCACCAGAAACTGAAAGAGGCCAAGGGTTCCCGGCAGCAGCCCTTGGAGGGAACACGGCCTCGCGAACACCCTGATCTCAGATTCTGGCTTCCAGAACCATGAGACAATAAATTTCAGTGGTTTTAAGGCTTCTAATTTATAGTCATTGTTACAACGGCTGCAGAAAACTAACACAGGACCTCTGCCTCCAGGTGGGAAAGAAGCCAGGGCAGAGGTCTGAAGCCCAGTAGCGCCGGGTGCCTCTCAAAGACCTCTGCCACCCGGTTCCGGTCCCACTGGCATCTTGGGGTACCGGCTGCTGTACCCTGTGAGCTGAGACGGGCCAGGTGCATGAAGGGCAGACCCATTCGGCATGAAGGAACAGACTCACCATGTGGGAAAAGGCGCCGATTTGGGAAGGCTAACTGAGGGAAAAAGGCTCCCCGCAAATGCTGCTCCCCAGGGACCTGGCATAGGTGCACCCTTCTCGGCCCACCCTTCCATCACCCCACCTGCCTGTCCAGCAGCCCCCACGCTCGTCCCTGCCACGCGCTATGTCCACCTGCACTTCTCCTCCAGGGTCTCTGGCTGGGTTTTCCCTGCCACTGGCTGTGAGCTCCCTGCTGGTCAGTCCCCCAGCCCTTGACAGGAGTTGCCTGAGGAATAAATAATCCCAGAACTGGGAAGAGAGAGACTCTGGAGGTATTTTTCATCCAGCTGCTCACTCCTCATACGTGCCAACTGAGGGTCATGGGAGCAGAGTGGGCTGCCAGACCCAAGACCTCACCAGCCTCTGCTTCTGACTCGACACAGACTTCTTGCTGGACCAGCTTCCCCCACGAACAGATCGCTCCTTGACGTGTCCCCGTGCCTAAAATTGTGCCCGGCACGTAGTAAGTACACGGTGTATTTGTCGAAATGAGCGTTTGTTAAATGAGCCCAGAACACAGGGGAGGGTTCTGCAAAGTTGGTCACGATATTGTAAACACTGCTCAAACACGGGGACTGCCTTCTCCGTGGAAAAATAATGTATCTCAGGGCACTAATTCCCTCTGCTGTGATTACATGATTCTCATCTTAATCCCGCTGTCAGGAGACCAAAAGTCCCCTAAGGGAAAAGAGCGTGTGGTCCTTGTTTCTGTGCTCCCAGACACAGCACCGGGCCTGGCCCGGCCTGTTTGCTCAATTAAACTGCTGCGAAGCGCCGTGCACTTTGAAGTATCTTAGAAAGCTGAAACAATGACAGCCCCATCGGGTTTTTAAAATACAAACAAACAGGAAACGATTATCTATGCCTCAGTGTTTGCATCTGCAAAGTGGAGACAGACTCCAGAACAAGGGTGGACAGGAAGGAAGTGCCTAAGCAGAGCCGAGGCCTCCAGAGATATGAGCTGGCTTTCTCTACCTTCGGCCTGCCGATTTCTCTATCAGGGGGCGTCCATCCAGAAGGCTCCTCCACAGAGATCCTATCTGCCACCAACTGAACTTCAAAAGCATCCTTATCTGTAGGACCCACCTCAAGGAAGGTTGATTCCTAACTTCTCTCGGTAATCCTTTTATTCTGGGCGGCCAGGCACACCCAGGCAGCCTTATCTGCAACGTCCCCAAGCTGTTGTCTTTCCAGGAAGGGTGTCACCTATCTACAAATGGCAGGGAGCATCACCAAGGTCTGACCCTGGTTCCTGCTGCAGGCCTGCCACCCTCTAGCTGTGTGACCTGGGACCAATTGGCCCATCTCTCAGAAGCCCAATTTCCCCCATTTACCCCTCTGCCTAAGAAAGGGGGCGGGCTTATGGCCCCTCCAGCTTCGAAACTGCAATAATAATAATAATTTCAGGGGCTGGGTTGGACAAGCTGAACTGATATCGCTACTGGCTGCGTCAGTCAATCCCTTCTAGAGAACGAGGGGAAACATCGAGCAGGAAGAAATCGGCGAAGCCTCCAGGACTTCTGTTATCCTAGGTTTGCTGCAGATGACGAAATCGCCAAGTGCAGGGGCGCCCTTCTGAGAAGTGCTTACTGCACCTGGGGAAGACCAGAGCAGGTAGACACACCTGAGAGGGCAAGAATTAGGGACAGTTAAGAGAAAGCCAATCCCCTGCTCCCAGGAACTGAGTTCAGCCTATCAAACTCTACAGGGGCCTCTTCTATACGTTGGTCTGGAGGGCGGCAGGGAAGAGGTGAGGGGCTGTCAGAGAAGCAGAAGCTGGGCCCCTGAGTGGCGGGCTGACCCACATTCTAACCCACTCTGGTCATTTCCCACCTGGCTTGTTCTCAGCTTCCTTGAACTTCATAGGCTGAGCTGCTTAACAGAGAATGTCTGTAATGGTCTAAAGTAGCACCTGGCACAGAACAGATGCTCACTTCCTACCTCCCTTCCCTCAGGAGTTTGCAATGAGCAGAGCTCCTAGGATTGCGGGCACAGGTTTTTAACTTCTATCTCTCCAGAATCCAGCCACGCTTAGAAGACAGTAGTTGCTTAATAAATATTCAGTAAATGCATGAATATGATAAAAACCTAGAAAGCCGTCTGAGGACTGATACAAAATGCACTCAGATGGATGAGCATTTAGGAGACGTCCCCACTTCCCACCTGCCCTTCCTCCCTTAGAGCCTCAGAGGTGCCTACCTGCCCCATTCCACAGAACACGTAGCCTTCAGAGGAGTGCAGGACCCAGACCACTGCTGGGCTCCGATTCCGGTGCTGTGGATTATGAGCTGCATGAAGCACACACAGCTTACTGAGGCCTCGGTGTCCCTGCGTTGATAGTACGTCCCTCGCAGGGAGGCATGAGGGCTCCATGACTTAATACACATGGCGTGCTCAGAACGGGTCCGGCACGGTGGTGCCCAGGCTTGTGGCTATGTGACATTGTCATTGGATGCGTTCGTGCACAGTTGCAGTTCTGGAGTCACTGAGCAATGGAAGGCACTCATCCCTAGATCACAGAGGTCAAGACACTTGAACTTCAGACTCGGAATCCTAAATCCTCTGGCAAGTCCTAGCTGTCCCCCACGCAGCCTTGGACATGTTCCTCTCTCTCTTGAGGTCTCCAGTTTCTCATCTGAAAAACAGATTTTAATAATCTGCTTTGTCTTCCCCAGATGGAGACTCAAATAAAAGAAGACATAAAGCTTGCTAAGGTGGGTACCGTAGATGCAAAATCATTATTTTCACTCAGATGAATGCATTACAACCTCCCCCACCCTTAGATCAGTCAGCCAACCAGCCACTCTGTGGGTCCCTGATGCGATTCCTCGCCCATGCGTGCCCCTCACCTCAGCTCCGGTCTCCCAACTCCCACCCTGCCCGCCTTCTGTTAGGTGCCCTCGGTTTTGACCACCCAGCTGGGCGTCTGGTGCCAGTGATTCAGAAACCATAACCGAGGTCTGAGAGCGTGTGCACCCACTCTGGGGCTCTGCCCAGTGGTGCAAGGAGCAGCAGGGAACCCAGGAACTACACGGGGCACCCCACTGTCCCCCCCGTCGCCCACGATACCACCTCCCTGCGTACAGCTTTGGGGATCACACCAGCATCAGCTGTATAACACATCCTTGGAACAAGACGAGCGCTGGCTTAATGCATCCCAGAGCATAGGCAACGAAGCCAGACTGCCTGGGTTCGAATCCTGGTACCGCCACGTCAAAGCCGTGTGACGCTGGAGAAATGTGGCGACCTGGGCCTACGTTTCCTTAGCTATAAAAGGGGAGATGAAATAGCACCTGCCTCTGAGGGTTTTTGTGAAAACTAGTTCATTTCTGGACCGTGCCTGCAGCAGCCCTGTTGCTGTATCGGTCAGCTATACACGCGCCTAGATCAGGATGCGAGATCTGAGAAAACATCGGTCAAAAAGGTGACAGAAGTGGAAGAAAAAGGCTGCCACGTCTCGGTGTTCCCTGGGGATTCTCGTTCCCCGGGTGCTGGGCTCTGGAAACAGAGCTGTGGAGTGTCACTGGACAGAAGTGGCTGAGACACCAGGAAGGGCGGAGGGGA